CAGTGGTGATAGTGGACATCCCTGCCGCGTTCCTGACCTTAGGGGGAAAGCTCTCAGTTTTTCCCCATTGAGAATAATATTCGCTGTGGGTTTTTCATAGATGGCTTTTATGATATTGAGGTATGTACCCAAATCCCTACACTCTGAAGAGTTTTAGTCAAGAAAGGCTGCTGTACTTTGTCAAATGCTTTTTCTACATCTGTTGAGAGGATCGTATGGTTCTTGTTCTCTCTTTTATTAACGTATTATATTACATCGATTGATTTGCGGATGTTGAACCAACCTTGCCGCCCAGGAATAAATCCCACTTGGTCGTGGTGAATAATCCTTTTAATGTACTGTTGGATCCTATTGGCTAGTATTTTAGTGAGAATTTCTGCATCCGTGTTCACAGGGAAATTTTAGTTATTTTCTTAAGCGTTCTTCATATCTTTATAAAACTCCACCGTCATGATTATCCTTGAACAAATTGGTTTCTTTAATATGCCATGACTGAGACCCAGGAATCCTTTGTATGGATGGCACTAATTTGGGACTGGACAGTTACCTTGGATTCACGTTGGATGGGTACCACCCTGGCACTGGGAAGTTGCATGCAATGGGGATTCATGAGAGGGCTTCCTGTTACTTGATAAAAATGTCTTTATGTCCCACTATCAGTATTCACCGACACATGGGTATGAGCTAATCAGCAATTCACCCTACTTTTATTCTTCAGTCTGTGAGGTTCTTACCTTGATAATACTTTTTCCTAGGTAGGGGTTTCTTCATTTTTCAAAGGGAAAATGTACTTTGAACTTTTTCTCTTTTTGGAAAACTTTGAAGTGACCAGATGACATTTTTGAGTGTTGGAATGTTCCTTTTTATCGACTGTCGGGTTTTGGTGTGAATAGCCTCATGGAGACATGGGAGTAATCCCTGACCTCTTGTCTGTCACAGATCCCGGATTACAGGAATGCGGTGATCGTGGCCAAATCTCCAGCCTCGGCCAAGAGGTAGGCGGGAGCTCACCACTACTCCTCAGGTCCACATGGAGAATCATCTCCCCGATCGGATCCTGGACGCTCTGGATTCTACCTCAGTGGTTCCCACTGGTGTCCCTTGTTTTTATTCTATGGGCTGATAGTTTAAAGATTGTCTGCTGACTCCATTTTAAAAATGATGATATACTTTCCTCTTTTTTTTTTCAATCCCAATCTGTGCCCGCCAGTCAAAGACATGCAGGTGTCGGGAAGCCTGACCTAATGCTTCTCTCATTTCCAGATTGGCAGCCACTGGTGGACCTTCACATCCAAGGTGTTTAAAATCCATGGTGTTTACAGTACCAGTGAATATACTTTTAGTTGTTTATTGCCTTTTATTACAAGAACTCAGTAATTTATTAACAGAATTGTATCCAGCCGAGAGGCCACTTCTTGGTATGTGTTAAAAAGTGACATTTTACAGAACAAAAACACCTGGAGGCAGTGCTGAGAGTTACATGTAAGCTGGAGTAACTGATAAATCAGTAATACAATATTTAAAGTGGTTTAGGGTTGAGAGGATTTCATATACCCATGTTTTCTGGAAAAGCCACTTTGTGGGAAACAGAGAGAACAAAAGCAAATGTAGGAAGAATGGAAAAAAGCTCCCCCCCTTTTCTTCTTTTTTTAGATAGAGATTATTAGGGGGAAGGGAGAGAGAGAATATTAAGCAGGGTCCACGCCCAGTGCAGAGCCCAATGTGGGGCTCAATCTCAAAACCCTGCGATCATGACCTGAGCTGAAATCAAGTGTCAGATGCTTAACCGACTGAGCCACCCAGGTGCCCCTAAAAATGCTCTTTTAAAATTATGTCTTTGATTGAATGCCTTTGCCCACTGGCTCCCTGTGAAGCCCTGCAGAATATAAGAAAACATAGGTACCTGCATCCTGGGTCCCGCGGGCTGATGATATTGAAGGATGAGGGAGAGCTTGTGCAGAGAGTAAGCCAGTGATTTAAAAGGCATTACAATAAGGAGTTTTCCATTATAAATTATGAAGGACATTTAGGATATTAAATAAATGAGGCTGGCACTTGTGATAAAAACATAAAGTCGCCGTGTCCGGTGCAGCCAAGACTGTGCCCACACCACACTTCCTTCGAGAAGCTCTGTCGGCGGAGTCTTGTCCATTTGATGAAGTCATAGTAAATCATGACTCGTTTTGGAGTATAAACCTGTCAAACACTTTTCTGGGCATTGCGCTTGATCAATTTTAGTGTAGTAATTTGTTTTTCTCTGATATACAGGCTTTTAGTTGTTAAGGTGAAAATCACGTAAGGTATAATTAATCATTTTAAAGTATATAATTCGTTGTCAGTTAGTGCCTTCACAGTGTTGTGCAGGCACCACCTTTCTCAGGTTTCAAAGCTTTCTCATCACTCCAGAGGAACACCCCATACCCATTAAGAAATCACTTTCCATGCCTGCCGCTCCCCCTGCTTGTGCTCTCTCTCTCTGTCTGACAAATAAATAAAATCTTAAAAAAAACACACACACAGGTGAAAGACAGCATACAGAATGGGGTAAAATATCTGCCCCCTCTCCCCCCAGCCCCTGGCAACCACGAATCTGCTTTCTGTCTCTCTGGATTTGCCTATCCTGGACGTTTCGTGTAAATGGAATCATAAATACATGGCCTTTTGGGTCTGGTTTGTTTCACGTAGCCTCCTGTTTTCCAGGTTCATCCACATCATAGCGTGTATTGGTCAGTCATTTCTTCTTACAGCTGAGCAATCCCCACTGTGTGGATAAACCACACTGTTTATCTGTTCATGTATTGAAGGACGTTTGGGTTGTTCCCACCTTTTGGCTGGTATGAAGACTACTGCTGTGAACATTTGTCCCAGTTGCTGTGTCGACGTATTTTTCATTTCTCGTGGATGTGTACCAAGGATCGAAAGTGTGGGGTATATGGTAATTCTATGCTAATGTTTTTGAGGGACCGCTCAGCTACAGCGGCTACACCATTTTCCATTCTCACCAGGAAGGTACAAGGGTTCCAGACTCTCCACATCCTTACCAACACTTATTTTCTGTTTTATTATTATTATTATAATTATTATGGCCATCCCAGTGGGTGTGAAGTAGCCTCTCACTGTTTGTTTGTTTTTTTAAGATTTTATTTATTTATTTTTGTGAGAGAGAGAGAGAGAGTACAAGCAGGGGGAGGGGCAGAGGGAGAAGCAGGCTTCCTGCTGAGCAGGGAGCCCGATGCGGGGCTCGATCTCAGGAACCTGGGATCATGACCTGAGCCGAAGGCAGACGCTTGCTTAACCGACTGAGCCACCCAGGTGCCCTCTCACTGTGGTTTTGATTTGCTCTTTTCAAACGATGAAGGATGTTGAGCATCTTTTCATGTGCTTATGGGTCGTTGGTATATTTTTGGAGAAATGTCTGTTCAGGTTTTTTGCACATTTTTTAATTGGGTTGTTTTTTTGGGATTGAGTTGTGGGAGTTCTTTATATATTCTGGATACTAGGTCCTTATCAGATGGAGGATTTGCAAATATTTTACCCCATTCTGAACGTTGTCTTTTACCTGTGTGTGGTTTTTTTTTTAAGATTTTATTTATTTGTCAGAGAGAGAGAGAGAGAGCACAAGCAGGGGGGCGGCAGACAGAGGGAGAGGGAGAAGCAGGCTCCCCGCTGAGCGGGGAGCCCGACGCGGGGCTCCATCCCAGGACCCTGGGATCATGACCTGAGCCGAAGGCAGACGCTTTAACCAACTGAGCCACCCGGGCGCCCCTCTTTTACCTGTCTTGATAATGTTCTTTGACACAGAAAAGTTTTTAATTTTTATGAAGTCTGGGTTAGCTGTGTTGTTAGTGCTTTTGCTTCTGGCATCATATATAAGAAACCATTGCTAAATCCAAGGTCATTAAGTTTTGCCCCTGTGTTTTCTCCCAGTGGTTTAGTTTTAGCTCTTATGTTTAGGTGGCTGATCCATGTTGAGTTCATTTTTGTCTATGGAGGGAGGTGTCAGGGGCCAGCTTCTTCCTTTTCCACATGATCATCTGGTCGTCCACCATTTGTTGAAAAGACTATTCTTTCCCCCTTGAGTGGCTTTGGCATTCTTGTCCAAAGTCAGTTGGCCATAGATGTCTGTGTTTGTTTCTGGACTCTCAGATCTGTTCTGTTGTCTGTGTGTCCACACCACACTGTTTTGATTACTGTAGCTTTGTCGTAAGAATGTGATCAGAACACCCACAAGTAGGTAGAAGTGGGAGTACTCTGCCTGTGGATCCTGTACTGACACCAAGTGGGAAGTGGCCTTGTTCCCATCGGACTGGTGAGGCTCCGGACTCCCTGAGGCCTCCCCGACACCACCTCAGAGGGGAGAGGGAAAGGCACCTTTTACTGCGGAGTGGGGTTGGAAGTCCAGGGTTCATGCTGCACTGACACTGGGGGGTGGGGGATCATTACTGCTTGGTAGGGATGAAAGTCCCAGCTCCCTCCTTGGCCTTCTCTGGAAACGCCCTGTTGGAGGGTTTGGAGCTCATCATTATAGCCTGGCAGGTGAGGAAGGGTAGGGTAGACCCCCCTACTTGACCTTTGCTTGTGTCAGGAGTGGTGTAGCTGGCTTTTTCTGTGGCTGTTGGCCGGAGAAGGGCAGTTACTGTGTTAAAGTTTTCTGACTTGGGAGGCTGCCCCTTTCTTGGTCCTTTGGCTAGAGCAAGCAGGCTTTTGTTTGGGCTGTTTTTGGTATGTGCCTGTTGGCATTTTGGGGTTGCCTGCTTCTCCAGCTGCAGGTCTGTGATGATGAGACAAAAAGACCACCAGACTGACCACCTTGTCGTTCCAACAGTCTCAAGGTCCCCAGCCAGTCTTTTTTCTCCTCTCCACCTTCAGTCTTCTTAAGTCTGTTTCATATATGATATCCAGGGTTTTGGTTGTACTCCGTGGGAGGAGTACTCCATCTTAGCGGGAAGAGAAGTGGTAGCAGTGCATTTTGATACATTTTTGCCCACTAAATACCCAGAGAATATGATGAATTTTCCTTTGTCTTGCCCATATGGATAGGCTTCTCATAACTTCTGTAATAGTTACTTTATATCTAAAACCGTTTGTTGATGAGATTTTATCATTGTGGTAGCCTTGGGCTCAGTTTATTTGGCTTTTAGTTGGCTCTTGAGCAACACAGGTCTTAGGGCACCGACCCCGCCGTGCTTCAGAAATCCATGCATAACTTTTGACTCCCCCGGAACTTAATTACTAACAGACTGCTGTTGACTAGAACCTTACTGAGAGCATAAACAGTCGATTAACACATATTTTGTCATTCATATACTGTATTCTTACTCCAAGTAAGACAGAGAAAAGAAAATGTTACTAAGAAATGGTGAAGAAGAGAAAACACATTTACAGGATTGCACTGTATTAAAAAAAATCCACTTATAAGTGGACCAGCGCAGTTCAAACCTATGTTGTTCAAGGGTCCACTGTACTACAGTGTTTGTCTTTTTTTTTTTTTAAAGATTTTATTTATTTATTTGAGGGGGGAAGCACAGAGGGAGAGGGAGAAGCAGACTCCCCACTGAGCAAGCAGCCCGACGTGGGGCTCGATCCCAGGACCCTGAGATCACAATCTGATCCGAAGGCAGACACTTAACCGACTGAGCCACCCATGCGCCCCCAGTGTTTGTCATCTATCCATTCAGATGTTTCTTGTGCCAGGTCTGATGAGGCCTGAGAACGCTCCCTCAGGGAGCTTATGTGTAGTGTCAGATGTTTTCGCTACTATTGTGGACGGAGTGTGTGTCCCCCTCCCCAAAATTCATCTTGAAATCCTAACCCCCAATATAATGGTATTAGGAGGTGAGGCCTTTGGAAGGTGATTAGGTCATGAAGGTGGAGCCCTCATGTCTGGGATTAGTGCTCTTGTGAGAAGAGTCATGTGCTTGCCGTGGTTCTCTATTCTCTGCCCCATGAGGGTACCGTGAGCAACATGGGCCGTCTGCAAACCGGAAAGCAGGCCCTTACCAGGCACCGGCTCTGCCGTGCCTTCATCTTGGGCTGCTAGCCTCCAGAACTGTGAGAAATACATTTCTGTTGCTTAAGCACCGCCCCCAGTCTGTGGTATTCTGTTACAGGAGCTGGTATGAAGACATCTATCTACGTTACCTCATCTGATCTTCTCTGGCTAGGAGGTCGGCATTTATTATCTCTCCTAGACGAGAGGGGTTGGAGAAAGTGATCCATGGTGATTCACCTGTATGTTGTTTACTGGAAGGTAGTGGGACCACTAATCACTTCTTAGGGTGTTTTCCACACTAGTGATTATGGGATTTTGGGTGTTGGCCAAATAGGATTGAGATGGACTTGCCCATCCACTCAGTACATACGTAAGTGCTACTTAGACTTTGAGAAATAACAAAGTGGGAGATCTAACACTGAAGTTAAGACTTAACTGTAAAGCTGAAGCGACTGTGATTATGTAGCGTTGGGGTAAAGATAGAAAAATAGAGTAGTGGAACAGAATTGAGTCCAAAAACAGCTCTCTGTGTATCTAGAATACTGGTTTCCAGCAAAGGTGCAAAAGCAGTGCAACAGAGAAATGGTAGTCCTTTTCACGAATGGTGTTGGAACGATAGGATGTTCATGTACAAAATAATGATTTTGAGTCATATTTCACATCATAAACAAAAATCAACTGAAAGTGAATCCTGTAACTAAATGTAGAACCTAAAACTAGAAAACTTCTGGAGGAAAATGTGGGAGAAAAATCTTTGTGACTTTGCTGGACAAAAATTTTTTAAATATGACACCAAAAGTACATTTTATAAGAAAATAATTGTTAAACATCATCAAAAGTAAAACTACTCGGGCGCCTGGGTGGCTCAGTCGTTAAGCGTCTGCCTTCGGCTCAGGTCGTGGTCCTGGGGTCCCTGGATCGAGTCCCACATTGGGTTCTCTGCTTGGCGGGAAGTCTGCTTCTCCCTCTCCCACTCCCCCTAAAACTACTCTTCAGAAGACATTACTAGGAGAATGATAGGAGAAGGCACAGATTGGGAGAAAATATTTGTGAAGCATGTGCCTGATAAAAAACTTGTTATATTCAGGGGCACCTGCCTGGCTCAGTCGGAAGAGCGTGAGACTTTTGATCTTGAGGTCATGAGTTCAAGCCCCATGTTGGGTGGAGAGATCACTTAAAAAATTAAATAAATAAACTTTAAAAAAAAGAACTTACATTCAGAAGATATAAAGAATTCCTAAAACTTAGTAAGAGAACTAGCAACCCAACTAAAATTGGCAAAAGATAAACAGACCCTTTATCAAAGTATATATTCAAATGGCAGATAAGCACATGAAAGATGTTCAGCACCGTTTGTTATGGGGGAAGTCCCACCGGAAAGCACAGTGAGGTACCACTAGGCACCATTAGAATGGATAGCATTTGAAATCAGCCACACCATGTGTTGGTGAGAACATGGAGGCCCCGGGACCCTCATGCACTGCTCAGGGGAATGTAAAATGGTATAACCAGTTGGCAAAACAGTCTGGTTTTTTAGAGAGTTAAATATATGCCTTACCTTATGATCCAGCCATTCTGCTCCTAGGTTTTTACCCAAGAGGAAGGAAAGCGTGAGTCCATGGAGAGATCTGTACATGAATGTTCAAAGCAGTTTTGTCATGGTTCAGAACTGGAAATAAATGTATCAAGTAATTGAACAAACTCTGGTGGACCCAAACAATGGACTGTTGCAGTGTGAAGGGGTGACCTGTTGATAGGCCATATAACGTGGACGGATCTCCAAAATGTTATCCTTAGTGAACAAAGTAAGACAAGAAATGATGACATACTCCGATTCCACTTAGGAAATTCTAGAAAAGGTCAAACTCTGGTGCCCGAAAGCAGATGGTTGGTTGCCCAGTGCTGAAGGAGTTACTGAGGGGCACAGGGACGTGTCTGGCAGCATTGTCATTGTCTTCGTCCTGCTGACGGTTTTCATGGGTGTGTGCGTACATCAGAGCTTATGAGATTGTACGGTTTAAAATATGCACAGATTGTTGGCTCTCACTTATATCGCAGTAAAACTTAAAAATTGACGCTTATGGCTTTGAGGAGTATTTAATGCCCTTTGCCTCCTGTGGTTGGTTCTCACTATTAAGTGGGTGGCGAGGTGGGTTAGCAGTTAGAAGCAAGGAAGGTGTGGCTTAGCAGAGTTAGCGAGTGCAGGTGCAGCTAGCCCCCCGCGCGCAGACCAGGCTGCTGTCCGGCCACTGGTGCTCACTGCGAGAGGGACGTGCTCCTCACCTGGGGTCCCCACGCTTTGTCCCAGATCCTAGGACTCGAAGATTATTTCCTCTCTCTTTTCATCAATCCTCTCGGAAACTGCACTGGATGTCTGTTCTCGTGTGTTCCTCCCGTGAGCGTCAGACAACGGAAGCCACGTCCTTTCTGAACCGTGTCTCACGCTCTCCCTCAGGGCACAGTCTTTCGCCGAGCGTCTGCGCCTGGGAATCGCGGTGATTCACGGAGAAGCACAGGACGCCGAGTCCGACCTGGTGGATGGACGGCACTCCCCGCCCATGGTCAGGAGTGTAGCTGCCATCCACCCCAGCCTGGAGATCCCCAGTAAGTGTGCCGGCCCCTCTTTGTCACTTTCCTCGTAGCTTTTTTTAAGGCTGCCTGAATGTATCGTCTTCCTGCTGTGAATGGCCCCTTCTCTCTTTGTTCTTTTAAGTGGGCAAAAACGGATTAATACCCAGTTGTAACAAGTGCATTTCTGATAGCCCTGTGGATCATAGAGCCTTCTAGAAGCAGTCTGTGTGATCATAGCAAGAAGTAGGAAAAGGCTCAGTTCTGCCATTTCAGAGAATTTCATCTATTCACTCAGCAGTATATCCTAGAGGAGAGTTTAACACAAGCAAAAAACTTTGTGCATATTATTCACTAATAGTGTTCCTTTGAATGCAGAATATTGGAAACGTATAAATGGCTTAGCAGAGGGTGGGCCTTGATAAGTTATCTTGTATCCGCACAACTGATTATGCAGCCCACTGAAACAGCTAAGCCTAGCTGGATACAAGAGAAAAATCTGGAGTATATGGGAATCGGCAGAATACAAGAGTGTATACCCGGGCTTGTGTGAGGCCCCGGAGGGAACACTAAAGGTGACAATATGGTGACGGGGTGGGGCAGTTATGTGTGAATTTGTTTGTTTTTAAGAAACTTCCTTCGTGCTTTACGAACATCTTGTCAATGAAAAACAAAAAATACTGCCTTTGAGTCTGTTGGGGAGGAAAAACTTCTCCTCTGCCCTCTTTAGATTCTGGCTTGGGGGCCTGCAAATTTCACAAAAGATAGATTAGCACAAGAAAAGACAGGGTTTAGGATTGGGGGGATCTTAACAGGGGAAGCTGGAAAACAGGTGACTTTTAGGAGAGATGAAGGGCCCTTAGCCCAGAAGGGAGTAGGACGGTTCTGTGACCGTGTCTGTGTGGGCGTGGTGCTGACTTCTAGTCTAGGGTAAAGTTAGTCTTCCCTGGTTGTTCCTGGGAGGGGACTTACGACATTTGAATTCTTTTGAGTTCTTTTGGGGGGCTCTGCTTTTAGACCGGAAGGAATTTCAGGAGCTCCAGTGTCTTCAGCTCAGAATCATTTTTATGCCACCGTGGCATATTCTGGACCCCGTCGCGTTCTTGCTTTGCCCAGGAATTTGCTTGTTTGCAGATAGAGAACACTTGAAGGAAGGAAAGCTGTATTGGGACTGCACCTGCGGATCTCAGTGGGCTGAGGTGGCGAGAGGCAGCGTTCAGGCGTCGATTAGATCAGGATGCCAGGACAGCCCGCAGGGGGTAGGCTCTGGAGGCAAGGGCTGGGGCCTGTGTCCGGCCATGATGTGACCAGGAAGGACACCACCCTGAGTGCTGGAAGGTCCTTGGGGGAAAAGATGGGGGTAAGGTGGCAGGAGTCTGCTGGAGGGGAAGGGAGGATTTTAAATGCCAGTTCATATACTTGCATTACAGAAGGCTGCAAAGTTCTCTGGAGCTGGGGGCAGGTGTCTTCAGAAGTCCAGGCCTGCATTGGGTGTTGGGATAGATTGCAGGGAAGAGAGGCAAGAGACAGGGAGGACAGATTTGGGAGGCTGATGCAGTTGCACAGATGCACAGCGGGAGGGCTTTGACTTCGGGCGGTGCCGGGCTCGGCGGTGCTGTCCAGCCCAGCGGCCGCCTGCCCACTGGAATGGGGCGAATGGGAGCCGCGGTGTGCCGGGAATGCAAAGGACACTCACTCTTGATGTGAAAGGTCTTTGTTAATCAGTTTTTTATTGAGTACATGTTGAAATGAGATTTTTGATTAAATAAAATGTATTAAAATTAGTTTCACCTATTTCCCAATATTTCTGTAATGTGGCTGCTAGAAAATTTAAAATTACATCTGTGGCTTACATTTGTGACTTAGCGCACATATATCACTGCTCTGGGAGTCTAGCAATGGGCTCATCGGACGAGAAGGCCTGTGCCTCTCCCATTCCATCTTGGGAGATGGCCCTCTCCCACTGTGATGGGAGTTTAAAGAGGGGTGCCTGGGTGGCTCAGTTGTTAAGCGTCTGCCTTCGGCTCAGGTCATGATCCCAGGGTCCTGGGATCGAGTCCTGCATTGGGCTTCCTGCTCAGCGGGGAGTCTGCTTCTCCCCCTGACCCTCACCCCACTTGTGCTCTCTCTCTCAAATAAATAAATAAAATCTTAAAAGAAAAAAAAGAGAGAGAGCTGGGCATGGAGCCAGGGAGTTCGGGATTTGCTAATCAGGCCCCACATTAGCGCGTGCACCCCGCTGCAAGGCTGCTGGGCTCTCGGGCCTGTGGCTGTCCTTCCTTTCAGAGCCGGTATCTGCTCAGTGAGGGGCTAGTGTCAGGCAGGGCTCTACAGAGATGAGCCCTTTCCCTAAGCTCAGGGTGAAAGCATGTTCCTATTCAGCTTTGCAATTATGTCAGCTACGTTCAGGAACGTGTCAGCCGTCTTCACATGAACCAGCTCCTTTTAACTTCTGGGCTTTAGCTTTTTTTTAAATTTAAGATTTATTTATTTATTACTTATTTGAGAGAGGGAGAATGAGAGAGAGTCCATGGCGGGGGGAGGGTCAGGGAGAAGCAGGCTCCCCGCTGAGCAGGGAGCCCAATGTGGGGCTCGATCCTGGGACTCCAGGATCATGACCTGAACTGAAGGCAGTCGCTTAACCAACTGAGCCACCCAGGTGCCCCTGGGCTTTAGCTTTAAGTGTGGCCTTAGCTAGTCATTTCTGGACTGCAGAGACGGAGCTGGTGGTCTGCCATCTGAAAACGAGGGGCCAGGACTCTCTGACATTTCCTTTATGTACTTATTTGCTCTTTATGTTTCAGCTTGTTTAGTTCACAGTTGTAATTATAACATTTCTGTGTGTACATTTTGACTCAAGCAGTGAACACTAGAGGATTTGGGGGGGAATACAGCAGAATTTTAATTCCACAGATCCCAAATGTTGAACTTTCTTTACACATTCGCTGGCCTGGCCCTCTAGACTTGTTTAAGTTAGTAGCAAGTAGATAGATGCAAATAGACATATGGAGGCAAAAGAAAACATTATTCCTATGGAATCTCACACATACTTGTTAAGATTGTGATGACATCAAAAGATTTTGATATTTATCATTAGATTTAAAAATTTAGTTTGTATTTTCTGGTTTCTTACAGAGGGAAAATGCCAACTAAAAAAGAAAGTGGTACTTTTCTATGGGACTCCTGGGTGGCTCAGTTGGTTGGGCATCTGCCTTCAGCTCAGGTCATGATCCTGGGGTCCTGGTATCGGGTCCTGTGTCAGGCTCCTTCCTCAGCGGGGAGCCTGCTTCTCCCTCTGCCTGCTGCTCCCCCTGCTTGTGCTCTCTCCCTGACAAATAAATAAAATCTTAAAAAAAAAAAAAAATAGAAAGCAATACTTTTCCAGAATAGGAGCCCATTATATAAATATTCAAAACATTACGGCACTAGATCCAGAGACACAGCATTTTTATCTTTTGGTGGGCCTCTTCCCATGGTTTCCTTCCTTGGGTTATGGAGCTGCGGTGTAGATGGGGACAGAATGCACGTGTTGCTCCATAATACACCTTCTCCCAGGTGATTGAAAACTTGCATGAACAGCATTTTTTTTTTTTTTTAAAGATTTTATTTTATTATTTGACAGAGAGAGAGACAGTGAGAGAGGGAACACAAGCAGGGGGAGTGGGAGAGGGAGAAGCAGGCTTCCCCACGGAGCAGGGAGCCCGATGCGGGGCTCGATCCCAGGACCCCGGGATCATGACCCGAGCTGAAGGCAGACGCTTAACGACTGAGCCACCCAGGCGCCCCATGAACAGCATTTTTAATGGCTATTGAATGTGGCTGAAACCTAAGCCCAACCAGGGTTTAGCAGGTATTTGTTTTTACCTGTTTTGTTTGTTTTTTTAAGGTTTTATTTATTTTAGAAAGAGCGAGTGGCGGGGGAGGAGCAGAGGGAGAGGGAGAGAATCTCCATCAGACCCTGCTCTGAGTGCAGAGCCCCATGTGGGGCTCGATCTTATGACCCTGAGGTCATGACCCCAGCCAAAACCAAGAGTCAGATGCTTAACTGACTGAGCCTCCCAGGCACCCTGATGTTTTCACCTGTTCTTTGCCAGTATAATGTTGTAACGCACATAGGTGGGTTAACACTTTCTCTGTAACTGGGCTTATTCATTGTAAGTTTCTAAAAGTGAGATTTATGAATCCAAAGGTAAGACTGTTCACACGGCTTTTGTCAGGTTGATTCCCTAAAGTCTACACCGTTATACTCTTTCCCCAGTCCTGGGGTTAGGTGCCTGGAAAAGGAAGTGTGGAAAGTGTACAAAATTACTTCAGTTTTGGGATTTATCTTGCTTTGTTTGGTTTTACATTTCTGTCATCCCCCCCGCCCCCGCCACCTAGGATCACGTACATTCGGTTGTCCTTTGTCTTTAGCCTCTTTTAATCCACAGCATTGGTTCTCAGCTGGGGCGTGCGGGGCAGGGATGCCATGGATTTTGTCCCATTGAGCATACTTGGAGTGTCTGCAGAAGTTTTGGTGGTCACAGTTGAGGGGACCAAGGATGCCATAAACATCCTGTAACACATAGGACAGCTCCCACCACAAAGAATTATTTGACCAAAAAGTCAATGGTGCCCAGGTTGAGAAGCCCTGATCTAGAGCACTCCTACTTTTATTCATTAGTGACACTGACCTTTCTTTGAAAATCGAAGTGAAGGATGCCTGGGTGGCTCAGTCGGTTAAGCGTCTGCCTTCGGCTCAAGTCGTGATCCCAAGGTTCTGGGATTGAGCCCCACATCGGGCTCCCTCCTCAGCGGGGAGTCTGCTTCTCCCTCTGCTTGTCGCTCCCCCTGCTTGTGCTCTCTCTCTCTGACAAATAAATAAAATCCTTAAAAATAAAATAAAAAATAAAAATTGAAGTGAAAGTCACATAACCTAGAATCAGCCATTTTATAGTATACAGTTCACTGGCAGTAGAAAGGGGGCAAAAGCATTACCGAATTCACAGCATCTTGTTACTACAGATTTTGTTAATTAAGGAATAAATTCATGGCATATCTTTCCATTTCTTTATGTTTCCTTTTTTTTCACCAGTATATTATACTTTTCAGTGTACAGGTCTTTCACCTCTTTGGTTAAATTTATTTTCAGGTATTTTATTCTTTTCAGTGCTTTTACAAGTGGAGTTATTTCTTCTTCAGATTGTTCATTGCTCGTGTGTAGAAAGAACTGATTTTTATGTGTTACCTTGCAACTTTGGTGAATTGATGTATTAGCTTTGGTAGTTCTTTGTGGATTCTTTAGTATTTTTTATATGTAGGGTCATGTCATTTGCTAAAGAGATAGTTTTACTTCTTTCTATCCAATCTGGATACCTTTTATTTCTTTTTCTTGCCTAATTGCCGTGGCTAGCACATCCAGTACCATGTTGAGTAGCAATGGTGAGAGCAGGCATCCTTTGTCTTGTTCCGGATGTTAGGGGAATGTTTCAGTCTTTCATTAAGTATGCTGTCAGCTGTGCGTTTTTCATATTTGCCCTTTTTCAGGTTGAGGAAGTTCCCATCTGTTTCTAGTTTCTTGGGTCTTTTTATCATGAGACATTAACTTTTTAAAGGCTTTAATATAGAAACTTTTGTGTGTGTTTTATTCTGACCAGTGCTGATTCCTAAAGAAAAGCCCCCAATCACAGTTGTTGGCGATGTTGGAGGAAGGATCGCCATCATTGTGGTATGTAGATCTCTCTTATTATTATTGTCAATTGTTGTATTTGCCATTGTTATTCTGTTGAATTATTTGTTAATTGTGTGGGGATAGCGGTGTGGCCAGGTAAGTCTCCTTTACGTTGGTACCTTGTGCTACATGTTCACTTTGGTCCAAAAGCAGAAAATTGTTATCATTAGTTTATTAAGAAATTGTAACTACTTAGTTTACTAAATGTTGTGCGGCTGTTTGTCATACACGGGAAATTGTTTTGTGGTAAAGGTAGGGTACAAAATTGATAAATGTTTATAAAACACTCATCCTCTTGTGCTTCACAAAACCAGTGCACAAAAGGAGTACATTTAATGCCTTTATGGTTAAAACAACAATAATATGAACACGCGGGCACCCCACTGCTCAGCTTGATACAGAACATTGTCCTGTCCCTGTGAGGCCACGTTGGCTCTTCCCTGGTCTGTGTTCTCTCTCCTACCCCCAAAGATTGTCAGCAACCCGAAAGTCACCATTCGTGCCCTTGCTTGCTGTTACATTCTGCTGTGAACGCATGTATCCCTAAATGCTAGGTGGTTCTGTTTTTCAGCTTTCTGGTGTTTGTGTAATGAAGTCTTTGTGTACTTTATGACTTCCATTCAGTGCTGTTCTGAGATTTCTCCATGTAGTAACATGTGGTTGCACATTATTTCTCTTTACTGCTGTTCCTGGTACAACCATGACACAGCTTATTGATCTGTTCTCCAGGCACCGAACATACAGTTTCTCTATTTCCAGATAATACTGCTCTGAACAATCCTGTGCCTCTTTTCTGGAGCATACGTATAAAACTTTCTTGGCACCTGGGAGTGGGGTGGTTGGGTCGGAAGGCACACACATTTCCAACTTTCCTTACTGGTGCCAAACTGTTCCCAGAGTGGCCGCACCAGTTAACCAAGACTCCATAGTGGGGGCCCCATGTTCTCCCCAGTGCTTGTGATTTTGCTTGTGAATTTCTGAATTCTAAAATCTTTTCGGAATTACAAAATCTCTGACGTCACCCTCTAGGGTACTAACTGCCCATGAATTTATTCCTTAATTAACAAAATCTGTAGTAACAGGATGCTGTGAATTCAGTAATGCTTCTCCCTTTCTACTGCATTAAAAAGAAAAAAAAACCCCTTTTTATTTTGAAGTAGTTTTGATTCATAGGAAGTAGGCCCTCTCCTCCCCCAAATTATACAGGGAAGTCTTGTGTTCTCTTGATCCAGCTTCCTCCTCCTTGCTCAACTGGGGTGCAGTAACACAATCTGGAAATTCAGATCACCACCACCCACCAGCTCCTCCTGACAGCACCGATGTGACGTGTGTGTGTGTGTGTAGACGTGTGCAGGCTTATCACACGTGGAGCTTTGTGTAACCGCCACCTTGGTCAGATACAGAATGACACCATCACCTGAGCGAAGCTCCTTCACGTCACGCCTTTATCGCTAGGTCCCCTCCTGCCCCCCGATCCCTGATGGCTAATCTGTCCTCTGTCTTTGTAATGGTGACTTCAAGAAAGTCATACAAGTGGAGTATACAGTTGGCCAGCCTTTAAGATCGATTTTGTCCCCCTAGCATGCTTCCCTGGAGATCCATCCAGGTTGTTACGTATATTAGTACACCCTTTTAGGCTGAGCTGTTTTCCATGCAGGTTGGTACCACAGTTGAACCGTTCACCGACTGAAGGACATTTGGATTGTTTCCAGTGTTCTGCTATTAGATATAAAATTGCTCTGCACATTTGTGTATGGGTTTTTGTTTTTGTTTTACTTTTTGTGGGATAAATGGCCAAAGGTACGATTGGCCATTTAGAGTGTTAAAAGATTGCAAAGAGAGTGTTAAAAGAACCTGTCAAACTCTATTTCAGAATGGCTCTACATTTTGCCAGTAGCACTTTTCAAGTAATATCTCTGTTTTTCTTCTTTGATCATAGTAATATCAGTATACATTTGAAAGGAATAATACATATGCATATAAAATAAATGTGTGAATACTTATTCAAGTCTAGACGATGCTTGATACCCTAGTGGGCTTAAAATAACTTTGGTAGCCTGGGTGTGATAGGAAAGACTCCGTTTTCCACCTCCTACATCTCTCTCCTGCGTATCCCCTTTACAGTTCACATAAATGTGTGGAGGTTTTTCTCTGTGATACCAGCTGCTTGTCTTACAGTTTAACTCAGGTCTTTTTTTTTTTCTTTAAGCTTTTACTTGAGAGAGAGAAAGCATGAGCAGGGGAGGGGTGCAGAGAGCGCAGGGGAGCCCGATGTGGGGTTCCATCCCAGGACCTCAAGGTCATGACTTGAGCCGAAGTCACACGCTTAACCGACTGAGCCACCCCGGTGCCCCAGGTTAACTCTGTTCTGACACTGTCTACCCAGAGCTAGTGTCACAGCCCTGCGGGTTAAGGGTCAGTCCTACAAGACTGCTCCCACCCTACTTCAGATGCCATTTGCAAGTACGGCCCTGGGTTACCCACAGCTTCTGTATGATCTGACCACAAAGCAGAGGTTCCCATGACCCCCTTCTCAGGTTGGAGTAATTTTGCTAGAGTGGCTCACAGAACTCAGGGAAACCCTTGTATTGACCAGTTAATTAAAGGATGTCATAAAGGATACCGATGAAGAGATACATAGGGCGAGGTCTGGGAGGGTCCAGAGCAAGAATATTCTGTCCCCGTGGAGCTGGGGTATGTCACCCTCCCAGTATGTGGATGTGTTCACCAATCCAGAAGCTCTCCAAACCCTGTACTTTTGGGATTTTTATGGAGGTTTCATCACATAGGCATGATGGATCATTAACTCCATTTCCAGCCCCTCTCCCCTTTCTGGAGAATGGGGGTTAGGGGACTGGAAATTCCAAACTTCTCATGGCATGGTCTTTCTGGTGACCAGCCCCTATTCAGGAGCCCACCGAGAGTCACCTCATTAGAATAAAAGATGCTTCTAGTGCTCTTATCACTTAGGAATTTACAAGGGTTTTGGGAGCCCTGTGTCAGGGTCAGGGTCAAAGACAAATAGAACAAATGATGTTCTTAGTGTTCTCATCACTTAGAAATTTGCAAGGGTTTTAGGAGCTCTGTGTGCTCTCTGGGTGGAGACCGATACATATATTTTCTACCCTGTCACACTGGGAGCCTGTGGTGCATGGGTGGGACACCACTGGACTGTGTAGTTTGTTAAAATACTATTACTATAGGGGCACCTGGCTGGCTCAGTCGTTAAGCGTCTGCCTTTGGCTCAGGTCATGACCCCAGGGTCCTGGGATCCAGTCCCACATCGGGCTCCCTGCTCAGGGGGGAGTCTGCTTCTCCCTCCCTTTCTGCTGCTCCCTCTCTCTGTCAAGTAAATAAATCTTTAAAAAAAATCACAAAACACAAAAACCCTTCCGTGAACATTTCTGGAGCCCCAGCCTGCTGAGGGCACATTTCTGGACCCACGAGGGATAAGGTGGAGATGGTGGCCCCAGGGAGCCCCGGTGTGGCCAAGAGGCCTGCAGGGAATGCAGCGGGGGCACCGTGACTGGCCGTGTCACCATGCCACCTGGACATGTTAGATGGGACAGCAGATCTGCGCGAATGGAATGACACCCTTTCTTTTTCTGGGTTGTGTGAACCCGCCTTTGCACCCGTGTTCATGTACCTTCTGCTCCCTCTGTGACTTGACAGGATGACATCATCGACGACGTGGACAGCTTCCTCGCCGCAGCAGAGACCCTGAAGGAAAGGGGCGCATATAAGATCTTTGTGATGGCGACTCATGGCTTGTTGTCGTCAGATGCTCCCCGGCTGATTGAAGAGTCCGCCATCGATGAGGTAACCACCACAGTCTGGGCTCCGCTGTCCCGGCACCTTTGTGCCTCCCGGTCCCGGTTAGAGAGAGCGGGTGAGGGCTGCATTATTTGGTGGTTAAGAATCGATTCACACTGTGGGTTATGTTTGCGTTTCACGGACCGGAAACCTCTGTCTTTTGCACATGGTACTAGTTTTACTAACTCTCATAAATGGGGCACATGGCACGCGGTGCTGTGCACACTGCCCCCGCACCCCCCCAGACTCCATCACAGCCCTGCAGGCTGCCCATCAGCACCCCTTTTAGAGAGACAGGAAGTCCTGCATCCGAAAGGTTAAGGGACCTCTTCAGGTCACAGCCGGTAGGCTGAGCATTTATGATGCCAAAGCACAGCTGTCGCTGGGACGGACAGACGCCTGCGGTATGAACCTGGTGCCCCAGTTTCCCAAGCCACCTGCATCTCACTCAAGCCTGAGGCAAGGCCATCAGGCTTACTCCCCCTGCTTTGTCTGCCCCCCTCGGTCAGCGGGCTTATCTGCTTGTCTTCTCTGACTGCACAAATCACATTTTTATTCTCTCAAGAAATGGGAAGTGTTTTGCCCTGTAGATTCCTGGGTATTGAATCCTCCATGGCTCAAACTCCTTTTACTTTTCCGAGTCCCACACTTCTACTCTGCAGCAGTCCATCTCCTTGAGCCTGGCCCTGTGTTCAAGGGTTTAAGGTGCCTTCGCTCAGACAGAGGCCAGGCTTGTGTGGCTCGGACCAGATCCATCCTCCTTACGTCCAGCGGGACACACATCCTCAGGGCCAAGATTACGTGAAAGGTGTTCAAGGCCACGAATTGAATACAGAATTCACATACTGAGTAGACAGGCCTTCCGGCAGCTCTCACGGTCTGTCCATGTGGTTCCCACGGGTGCCGTGTGTGGGCACATTCGAGAAAGCAAGCCAGAGGAGGGGGGGTGGTGGCCTGCGGGAGCCAGGCCTCCTAGAGCAGAGCGGCCTTTGGAGAGGAGGCATAAAAGCAGCAGAAACGGACGCGAGTGCACCCGAGTCTTGAGGGACAGGCCGCCTCTGTGGATGGGCGTGTTTGTGTCCCGAGGGGGGCCTCACAGCGATGCCCAGAGGGGGAGTCAGGCCAGTAACTAGCGGCCACACCGGGTGTCTGGGGCACCTGGGTGGCTCAGTCGTTAAGCATCTCCCTTTGGCTCAAGTCATGATCTCGGGGTCCTGGGATCGAGCCCCGCATCGGGCTCCCTGCTCCACGGGGAGTCTGCGTCTCCTTCTCCTCCCTGCTCACGCTCTCTCCGATAAATAAAATCTTAAATAATAATAATCAATAAACTGGGTTTCTGTGTTCACTCTGGTTAGGAAGCTCAGGTTTTTCCCGTGAATTTACAGCACAAAGCACAGTGGAGCAGTAGGGTGTAAACAGTGCAGGAGCAGCGGTGGGCTCCGCCGGGTAGGAGGCGGAGGTGGGGGATGTGGAGAGGCTGCCGTCCTCCTCTTTCGGAAGATAGTGCTCGGGGTTGATAAACCAAGATTTGAAGCAGGGGTTTTTGGTTTGTTTGTTTTAGTTAAAAGCCTTAAATGACGCCAGAATAGATAAAGGCAGATCAGTGGTTGCCAGGCCTCTGGGGAATGGTGAGATGAGGGACAGCGAAGGCGTGCAGCATCTCTTTCTGTGGGACGTGCTAAGCCCAACTCTGAGTGTTCTGAACACCGGTGAAGCGTACACTTGAAGTGGGTGACTGGATGGTACGTGAATTATATCTCAATGAAACTGATACTTTTTGGGACACCGGGTGGCTCAGTCGGTTAAGCGTCTGCCTTCGGCTCAGGTCATGATCCCAGGGTCCTGGGATCGAGCCCCACGTCAGGCTGCCTGTTCAGTAGGAGGCCAGCTTCTCCCTCTGCCTGCCGCTCCCCCTGCTTGTGCTCTCACTTTCTCTCTCTCTCTGGCAAATAAATAAATAAAATCTTAAAAAGAAAAAAAAAAAGAATAGATGTGGAAGATACATTCCCCAGTGAGGGTGGTTAATGCGTGAAAAACCGACGCCTACAAGGGAGTGCTGTGCATGGGGCGCAGGTGTAGCGCCCCACCCTGGGGACATGCCTCACACCGATTCTCTGTGAGGGGTGCAGAGAGGTCTGTGTTTGATACCAGTGGGGAGGGTTTTCTGGGGTTTTTTTATTGTTGTTGTTTTAATTTGGGAACTGTTCTCTTTCACAGGCCACGATAATTTATGTGACTCTTCATGTTTCCATTTTTGCCTCAGTTGCCAGGAATATCAGCTACAAAAGGAAAAGTCACAAGAATCGGATGAGGCTAGGTTTTCATGTCCCTGCTGCTGGTTCTGACTAATTCCTGACTGTCCGTCTCTGTTTCAACAGTCTCCTTGTGTATGTGCGTCTTTATTATGAGAGGTCTTGAGACTTATTTCGGAAGTAGGGAGTGTAGATTATAAATATAATGAACAAATCATTCCCATCTATGTTTTTTTAAAGATGGCTATTTTTTTTTCCATTTGTAGTTGTTGGAAAGTGCTTCTTTGTCTTTGTTTTTTACCAAATCTTAATTTTAAGAAAAACAGCTTTATAAAGAGATATAATTCACATACTGTACAATTCACCCATTTAAAGTATAACATTCACTGGTTTTCAGTGTATTCACAGAATTGTGCACCCACCATTCTCCTCCCCCCAGAAAGGAGCCCCGATTCTCATTAGCGATCCACCCCTCTCCCCATTTCTTCTCAGCCCACTCAGCCTGAGGCATCCACTAATCTACTTTCTGTCTGTACGGATTTACTGAATCTGGGCATTTCATATAAATGAAATCCTGTGATGTGTACATTCTGTGTCGGGCTTCTTTCACTTAGTGTGCTGTTTTGAAAGTTCATCCTTGCTGGAGCAGGGTATCCATACTTCATTCTTATTTTTTGCTGAATATTTCATCGGATGGATATGCCACATTTTGCTTTTTCATTCATAAGGTTATGGAAATTGGGATCATTCATAAGGTTATGGAAATTTGGATCGTTTCCACTTTTTGACTCTTGTGAATAATAGTGTCTGAAACATTCGTGTACAAGTTTTTGAACGGAGGTATGTTTTCACTTCTCTTGCGTCCTATGGCAACTCTATGTTTAACCTTTTGAGGAACCTCCAGACTGTTCTCCAAAGTAGCCAAAGCATTTTTCACTTCTCTCACCAGCAGCGTCTGAGGGTTCCAGTTTCCCCACATCCTCACTGGTAGTTCTTACTCTCTTTTTGCCTGTAGCTGTCTTAGTGGGTGTCAGGGTATCAGACCTTGACCTAAGAGACACAAGTAGTGGGGGTGCCTGGGTGGCACAGTCAGTTAAGGGTCCGACTCTTTTTTTTTTTTTTTTAAAGATTTTATTTATTTATTTGAGAGAGAGAAAGAGAGCACGAGAGGGAAGAGGGTCAGAAGGAGAAGCAGACCCCCCGCTGAGCAGGGAGCCCGATGCGGGACTCGATCCCGGGACTCCAGGATCATGACCTGACCCGAAGGCAGTCGCTTAACCAGCTGAGCCACCCAGGCGCCCAAGGGTCAGACTTTTGTTTTCAGCTCAGGTTTTGAGATCGAGCCCCACATTGGGCTCCATGCTCAGCATAGACTCTGCTTAAGACTGTCTCCCTCTGGGCGCCTGGGTGGCTCAGTCATTAAGTGTCTGCCTTCGGCTCAGGTCATGATCCCAGGGTCCTGGGATCAAGCCCCGCATCGGGCTCCCTGCTCAACGGGAAGCCTGCTTCTCCCTCTCCCACTCCCCCCTGCTTGTGTTCCCTCTGTCGCTGTCTCTCTCTCTGTCAAATAAATAAAATTAAAAAAAAAAAAAGACTCTCTCCCTCTCCCTCTACCCCTTCCCTCTGCACTCGCTCGCTCTTTCTCCTAAAATAATTTTTTTTTTTTTTTTTTTTAAAGAAAAGAAACAAGTAGTGTTCACATTGACTGAAAACATTGTTGAAGGTGTGGTAGACTCACTGGTCCTGTCAAGTAGAACCACAGAGATTTGAGAATATATCAGATTTTCAGATCCAGACAGGAAGCTACCTGGTTCTCTGATGATGTTGGATTTCTTTCCTCTTGATTTGCAGGTGGTGGTTACCAATACGATTCCACATGAAATCCAGAAGCTCCAGTGCCCCAAAATTAAAACTGTGGATATCAGCATGATCCTCTCAGAAGCCATCCGTCGGATTCACAATGGGGAGTCCATGTCCTACCTTTTCAGAAACATAGGTTTAGATGACTGAACAGCTTTCCTTTCTTAAAATTCCCGAGGGCCAAACTGGAAGTGGAGAGTACCGTGAGGGGTCATGCCTGATGCGATGTACTTCCCAGGGGCCGTCTGTGCTTTGTTCCTTCCTTTTTGTTAATTCCTACGAAGATAGAGCAACTTTTTATGTCAGGTTAGGTGTTTATGAGTTTTTTGGGCGATTTTTATAAAAGAAAACTATATTCTCCTCCTAAATGAATTAACAACCCTGGTTGTTTGTAGTTTAACTATTTCAACAATAACCTGGAATAAGACTTTTAAGCCCACAGACAGCCTTTTTCCAAAGTTGCTGGAGCCCAAGTGCTTAAAAAAGTTCATGAAATCAAATGATCTATACTGTGTCATACCTGCAGCTGAAAAGCCAAAAAGATGATACTGTCGAATCCCAGCAAATGACATTTTTAGAAATGCTTTTATAGACATGCATATGTGAACAATTATTACGTGACCATTATTTATTTTCTGCAACAAAAGAAGGAATAAAAAACTTACACTGTGTGTTTTTTTTTTTTAAACTTTGTGTTTGGGCACTTTTATAACTAAAATAAAAACGCTGAATACACGTGCTGTGAATGTTGAAGTGTTGGGTCCGCTTGTTGAGTTTTCTCTTCTGCAGCTTGTCATGGTGTCACAGTAGCCTCTCAGGGATGTAACGTTTCCTGTTCTGTTTGTCCAGGACCTGCACGTTTCTGATCGTAATCACTTGGCTGTGGCAAGGAGAGGAATTCGAGTCGCAGGCTGTGAGCCCCGGGGGGCAGGTCAGCGAGTTGGTGTGAGCTGCCGCCTGCATCTTGGCATGGCTTTGTTTTGCTGCCTGTTCAACAGCACAGCCATGCTCTGAACAAAATGCTACCTCTGCATGCTCTGGAAGATGAGATGCTGGGGCGGGGGTGGTTGCAGAGGGCAAGTGATACGACCCTTGTTAATGTCAGGCATCAAAGAACTGTCTGCCCTGCAGTTCAGAGTGCAGAACTCAGAATTTGTCCGTGAGAGTTGTATCAGGCTCCGGAACACTGGGGTCCAATGAGTTAGACCAACATGTTCTCCTGCCAAGGTCCTGTAATGGCAGTCCCATCAAATTCATGGAGGAAAAGATTAATGAAGACTTTCTCACAAAGAAAAGGATTATTTCTTCTTTTTCTTTTTGTTTCAAGTAAACTTCACCTCCAATGTGGGTCTCGAACTTATGACCCCAAGATAAGAGCCATATGCTCTACTGACCGAGCCAGCCAGGAGCCCCAGGAATATTTTTTTCTTCCAAAAACACTTAACCCTGTGGTTTCTGCCTATGTTAGAATCTGCAATAAAATAGCAGGTGACTTGGCACAAAATTAAGATTGGTCACTTACTGTCTGCCATCTCCAGGTTTCTTCGTGCTCCCAAGAGAGCAGCCTGATTCTTGGGGACTTGCTGTGGAGTGGGTCTGGGGCCCTGTGTGTGCAGCAGCACCGAGGGCTGTACTTCTGGCAGCTGCCCCGGGTACCAGACTGTCTACTGCTCATCTCTGTGCTCATTACACGCAGCGGTGTCCAGACCCCTCCTGACTCGATGTCTTAACCAAACAGCCTGTGATGGTCGTGCTCCTGCAGGTGCATGAAAGGAAACGTATTTTGTTAATTACCTAAAGTAATGCACACTGATGCTCGGATCTAATCAAAGTAGAAGCCTGCACTGTTAACATGGGACATTAACTCTTGCTTAGAACTGTGTGACCTTAAAATGAGCTCTCTCCTTTATACGTTGTGAGCATGGTTTTCTTTGCTTTATGAAACCCTTGAAAGTAACCACATTTTCCTTTTACTTCAAAATGAATAAGCTGGCAGATGTCTACCAAGGATGGTGGAATGGGGGAACTCCAAAAGTCTCTTTCTCCATAGAAGCAGAGAATAAATTGGCAAAAACAGAACCGACTTTATTGGAACTCTAGAAAATAATCAAAGTTTACAGCAACCAAGTAAATGGTCAGTAAAAAGCAAAACAACAATAAAGAAAAATGGCTGAATCTTGAAAAGATTGCTTTGTGGCACTTTAACTTACCCTGGTCCCATTCATTTTGTGCTTCCTGGCAGCCTTGAAGACAATAGCCTGCATTCCTGGTACATGTTCCTTGTACCAATGGGAGCAGAATACTGTTCTCAATTACGGTTATTTGTTTGGACCTGTCTACTGGCTCCTTGAAGAACTGGCTCAAAGGACTTGCCTTTATTTTACGCAACTCGCAACTCTTCAGAGCAGAGGGACAACCCTTACGTTTAAAGGCAAATGTATTAGCCACTCCTCTTGGGGCAAACAATGAAACCATTAAAATCTTGGGAGGAAAGGTTAAGGAATGAGATACTTCAGGGGGAAAGGGCTTTGAAAACCTCCCACATGAATGGGAGGGGGATATGAAGGGTGTGGGATTGCACAGAGTTGACATGCTCAGAAAAGACTCAAGAAAGCCTTAAGTTCTCACCTCTGGCAGATCTGCAGGCTCTGTGCAAGCAAGAAGTGAGGGCTAAAGCAGAGTTGCAATCTGCCCAGCTGAGTGGTGAAGGCATGTCGTGAGACATGCAGCCCATCTGCAGATGGTTATTTTTCCTTCCTCCTTCCCTCCCTCCCTTTCATCCTTTCTCTCTCTCTCTCTTTTTTTTCCTTTTCTCTTTTCTTTGTTTTCAGGCTTAAGGAAGCCTGTGATGACTCACCATTCAGTTGGCCAAACAGAGATTTCAGTTACCATACACAACGAAGAATACAGACTTTACAAAAATAAGTTCAGAAAAGCCATCAAACAGACAACTACAAGCAGCAACAAACCCTGGGGAAGGAGGAGAATCTGATTTCCAGACTTCCCACATTATAATATTAAAAATGCCCAGTTTTCAACAACAACAACAAAAATTCTGGGCCCACACACAGGAAAAAAACTTAATAGAAACCATCCTTGAGGAAGTGCAGACATTAGATTTACTAAAGACTTTAAGTCAATGGTTTTACGTATGCCCAAAGAGCTAAAGGAAACCATGAGAAGGATGGCTCACTAAATAGAGAATATCAATAAGAAATAATAAAAATGAACCAAACAAGATTTGGGCAAGACAATGGAGTGGGAAGCACCAGGAATCTGTCTCTCCACCTAGACAATTGCTGTGATAAGATTTGATGGTTTTGAGACTCTGGAGTCTATCGAAGGTTTGCAACCTCCAGGGGGAGTCTTGGACAGTAAATTGTTAATTTTGGTCAAATTCAGCTCTTAGTACAGTTGCAGATCCCTCACCCCCATACGCACACTCCCAGACTGGTAGCAGGCAGCCATACCTGTGTTCCTGGAGCCACCTGCACAGCTTGTGGGTGCTGGGGTGGGCAAAAAGGACTCTGTCCTCCAAATAGTGGAGATCTGTGCTCTGACAGCTGGTTGCTGCTTCTGATCACGGAGGTGTAGGCAAAGAGGCTGGGAGCTATTGTGATTGCACTTCCTTCATTTGTTGCAAGCCCTTCCCCTCCAGCTGATGAGAATTCTGGGAGATTTAAAGGCTGGTCTCCTTATTCCCCACCTGCACCCCCAATTCTCTCCTTTTCCCTCTTTTGGGAGCCAGACATTAAAGACTAGGACTCCTAATTCAAAAACAACTGCATATACAGGGAAAATTAGAAAGTTGCTGCACATGCTCAGAGGATATGCAGGCTCAGAATAGAACTGAAGAGACCCTAAGCTCATCCCTCAGGTTGATCCTTGGCTCAGAGACAGCCTACAACAACAACAACTACTACTACGACGACTATAATAAATCCTGGGGAAGGGAGAGAAACCGATTTCCAGGGTTACCACATTATTAGATTCAAAAGTCCAGCTTTTAGTTAAAAAAAAAAAAAAAGCATGCAAAGAAACAGGAAAGTATGGTCCATTCAAAGGGGGAAAATCAACAGAAATGGTTTCTGAAAAAGACCTGATGGTAGATCTGCTAGACAGACTTTGAAGCAACTGTCTAAAAGATGCTCAAAAAACTAAAAACAAACCCAAAACAAAACAAAAAACAGAGGTGGAGAACAAGAAAATAATGTATGAACAAAGCATGAGATCAATAAACAGAAAACCTAAAAAGAGACCCAAAGAAATTCTGAGAAGTACAACTAAAATGAAAAATTCACTAGAGGGATTCAAAGACACGTTTAAACAGGCAGAAGAAAGAATCAGTGAACTTAAGAAAATGAAACTAAATCTGAGGAACAGAAAGAAGATTGAAGAAAAAGAAACAGAGCCTAAGGGACCTGTGCCACTCCATTAAGTGAATCAACATACACATTGTGGGAGACCTCCTCCAGAAGGACAAGAGAGGGAAAGGGGTAGAGAGAATATTTGAATAAACAATGGCTGAAAACATCAACATTTTATGAAATACATGAATATAAACATCGAAGAAGCTCAGTAAACTCCAAGTAAGATGAACTCAGGAACATTCACACCAAGACACATTATAATCAAATTTTAAGAAGTCAGACAAAGAATCTTGAAAGCAGCAAGAGAGAAAAGATGAGTCTGTAACATAGAAGGGATTCTCAGATTATCAGATTTCTTATTGAATTTTGGAGTTCAGAAAATGGTGGGCTCAAGAATTCAAAGTGCTAAAACAAACAAAATATGTCAGCCAAGAATTTTATATTTGACCAACTGTCCTTCAAAAGTGAGGGAGAAATTGAGACTATCCTGAGTAAACAAACACTGACAGAGTTCATTACCACTAAACCTGCTCTGCAAGAAATGCTCAGAGGAGTGCTCCAAGGTGAAATGAAGGAACACTAGATAGTAACTTGAAGCTGTATGAAAAAACTATAAAGATCTCAATAAAGGCAAATACACAAGTAATTATAAAAGTTACTATTTTTTTAGACTTTTTAAAAATATTTTAGTTATTTATTTGACAGAGACACAACAAGAGAGGGAACACAAGCAGGGGGAGTGGGAGAGGGAGAAGCAGGCTTCCCGCCGAGCAGGGAGCCCGATGTGGGGCTCGATCCCAGGACCCCGGGATCATGACCTGAGCCGAAGGCAGACGCTTAACGACTGAGCCACTCAGGCACCCTAAAAGTTACTATTATTGTAACAATGGCTTCTAACTCTTTTCTACATAATTTAAGAGACAAATATATTTTACAAATTATTAGTCTAAAAGCTAGTATTATTATAACAGTGTGTAACTTTGTTTTTTGTTTTGTACATAACTGAAGAGGCTAATGCATTTAAAAGATTGTTTTGTGGAACAAAATGAATAAAGATTTAAATTTATGATAACAGCTGAAAAGGGGTGTAAACAAAGTTGCCAAAGAAGCAGAGTTTTTGGGCGCCTGGGTGGCTCAGTCGTTGAGCGTCTGCCTTCGGCTCAGGTCATGATCCCAGGGTCCTGGGATCGAGTCCCACATCGGGCTCCCTGCTCAGCGGGAGACCTGCTTCTCCCTCTCCCACTCCCCCTGCTTGTGTTCCTGCTCTCGCTGTGTCTCTCTCTGTCAAATAAATAAATAAAATCTTAAAAAAAAAAAAAACAAAACAGAGTTTTTGTATGTTATTGAAATTAAGCTGGTATAAATTGAAATTAGAGTGTCATA